AATGCCGTCATCCATGTCACTGATGGAACAACTTCCTCACTTGTTTTTCCTTTTATTTTGAGTAATTATTTTGAGGTGATACTGATTTTTATTTGATTATTTATTGTTTGATTTGTATGCTTTAGATCAATAGTCTGTCTCTTTTTCTTCCACAGTCCTTTTCTATAAACAGGACTCAGGTGTGTGTTTGGTGGAATAAATCTGAGTCTCTCTTGTTGAAACTCATGTGTTTTGCCCTCATGTGCCATGTTCATGGATTTGAGCCAGCCTGGTGTTAATTCTGGGGAAAAAAAAAAAGAAAATGTCTGCAACAGAAAGCATAGATGGAAAGTTTTGGCAATATTCAACTATCTCAGATTTTTATGCTGTAATTAAATTACTCATAACTGTCCTGCTTGTATTGTTGCTTACAACTACGAGTAGCTAACGCAGCTCGATCACCGGTTGACAGTAAACCATGTTGTTTTCCTACAATCATCGCTATTTCCTTGAAGTAGCAGAGGTGTTGCCTTCTAATGCAGCTGCAGTCTGTGTGTGCAGTATCTCACTTGTGCAGTAGGCTGCACGGCACAGCTCAGTCCTGAAAAGCTTGTCCCACTGACATCAGTGACAGGTTATATTGTGAGTGCTTCAGTATCGTTATTTTAAAGACCGGATTTTCTTAAAGTTCAGGATCTGCCCACTGAGCTGGTCTTTCAGCTTCATCTGTTTTCAGAGTCCATTTGTGCACATGCCATAGTCTGCAGAGTGAATCAAAGCTGTATGGGGTTTGTAGGCCCTTTTCTCTGCAAAAGGAGTTCGGTCGTAATAGCACTTTGAGTTTTGGGATTGATCCATGGGCAAGACAGCAAGTTGGTTATACAAAAGAAGCAAAGTCATGTGGATTTTATTTTTTTATTATGCATGTGTAGAGAGGAAAAAAATTGGGGGAAAAAAAAGTACATTTTATAACAGTTGTAAGCACTAATAATTCATCTCTCTTGATTTAGCACTGGGACTGCAAAGACTGCACTTGGCCCTAGAGTTCTTCCCAAACTACCTCAAAAAGGTAAGCATTCTTTTTGTGGGTATTCCCATAATGATATCTTTTAAACATGTATGAAAGTAGATACTTGTTTAAAATATATGGAGCTTTTCAGGGGAAGTTCTATTTCTAAAATGCCACAAACCATGAAAGCTTAGCAGAAGTGGAATTATTTTGAAAGACTGAGAAGGTTTTTATTAAATTAATAAATAGTTAGACTTATGGAACATAAGGAGGAAATAAAAAAATAAAAAATCATAAACTTGGGTTAGCTGGACAAGACCTCAGGAGGTCAGCTGGTCGGATCCAGCACTCAGATGAGGGCCAAGTTTCTGACATGGTGACAAGTTGCACAAGGCCATATCCAGTCACATTTTGAGTATTTCCATGGTTAACCTCTCTCAGGCTTCTGCTCCTGTCTTTGACCACATCGTTGGTAAATTCTTTTCTCTTCCTAATATCCTTAAGTCCAATTTCTTGATATCCTTGAATCGAGTTATGTCCATTGCCATGTTTTGGCAACCGGGGTTCTTGTCCTTACAACTGCTCTGAAGAGGATCAGGTACTGTTACACGCTCACTCGCATATCGGTGACAAAATTGCTGAGACCATCATCCACTCAACACCGTATGGCCCTTTCTTCTTAGAAGTGGGTTCTGGTTTTAGTGGGGATAGTTGTTTCTAGTCTCCTTTAAACTCAAATGGCAGGTGTGGTTTAATTTTTTTGAGTTCTTGCAGCAGTTGACTGTAAGTGGAAAGTAGACAAAGAGGTTATGAGTGGGTAATCACTATATAGAGCCTGAAGATCAGGAAATGAAGCCTGCCCAAACTTCTGAAGCTAGGTGGCTGAAATCAAGAGTGCAAATCATTGTAACAAAAAATGCAAATGTGAAATTTCACGTTGATTAAATTACAGTTATTATGACATGGTATCATCATCTGAACGAGACGGCAATGCCATGATAGGGAACCACCGCCAAGGAAGTCAGCACTTCCTTGGTGTAAAATGATGTAGGTGAAAATTGGAGATGGGGTCAGTCCAAGCACTCTGACAGCTACTATCAGTTTTTCCTAGAACTTACTTAACCCTCAAACCAGCGTGGATGATCCATGCTTGTACAGTTGGGAGAGGTGTCCATGCGGGCATGTTTCTAAATGAGGCGTTTGATAGCAGCCATACAATTTCTTTCATGGACGTTACGCAAAGTAGGATTTTGGGGTTTGTTTTTTGCTGTAAATATAGCATGGAAGTGGTGTTGCAGTAGGGGATGCCCAAAGCAAATGTTGGTGCTTTCATAGGAAGATGTCAGGCCACCTTTTTGGCTGGCAGAGTATGATACTGGGGCCATGCTGAATACAACAGGACACTATTCCTTCTAGTCAAAATGTGTTGCTTTCATCGTGGAGTGTAACTTTTTTCTCTCCTGTCTGCCCCCCTTAATCTGTTTTTAAATAGGGTTGTTTGGTTTAGTGGGATGGGGTTTTGTTTTTAAGGTGGATTTCGGTCAGGTCATCTTAAGGAATTTAGCAGTAGAATCAGCACATGATACTGAAGAGAAAAAACTATTTAAAAAGCTATTTTCAATTTCTTTCTATAGAATCTGAAAAATACATACTTTAAAACTTCTCATCCTTACTAAATTGTAAATACTTACATAATTTTTTTTAATTAGCTTTAATTGAATGTCTGTAATACAGTTTACAGACTGTATAGACATGCGTGCTTACTTGCTCTCTTCTTTCAGGATTAGTACCTGTAAAATCCTAGACTTGAGTTTTTTTATGTAGAGTTCAACTCCGTATGAATAATTGTCATTAAAGAGAACTTCCATTGCAATCACATCAGTGGGTTGATAGGTTGTTTTGCAAAATACATCTTTTCTTATATTCAAGATATTTTGGTTTAGGTCCAAAAAGCTTAATTTCATTTTAAGTAGTTCATCCATAAATTGACACCTAGTAGCTGTTGGATTAAGTATTCCTGGCCTCCACAGGAGCAGTAAAATGAGACCTCAGTGCAAGAGGGTTACATAAAGTTGTGTTACCTTGCATTTGTCGTAGTCTAGGAGGAGGCATGGGCAGCTGTCGGGGCTCAGTGAATATGTGCCATTTACACGATTACAGTTTGTTATGTGCCTAAATTCTTTAATATTAAAATGAACTGTGAGAAACCATTGTTGTGCTCTTTTGTTTTAGTGGCACTAAGAAAAATAGAAACCAGTCATCATCTTTCAATAGATAAATCCCATCAGCACACGGAAATCTTTCAGAAGCCCTCACTGTCCATCGATATACCACAGAAACCACAACCTGGAGACTTGCCCCCAAAGCCTCTGCCTCTGGAATTAACTCAGAAACCTCAAGTGGGAGACTTACCCCCAAAGCCTGGAGAACTACCCCCAAAGCCTCAGCTAGGAGACTTGCCACCGAAACCGCAACTTGGAGACTTACCTCCAAAGCCGCAAATGAAGGACCTTCCTCCAAAACCTCAGCTAGGAGAGCTGTTGGCTAAAACTCAAGGTGGAGAAGCATCACCGAAGCCTCAGCCCTCAGAGGCAAATCAGAAGTCTCACTCCTTAGATCTTTCTCCAAACGTACAATCTAGAGACGCCGTCCAAAGGCAAGCATCTGAAGAGTCTAATGACATCACACATACCCTGCCAGAAACCCCTGTGCCACTTCCCAGGAAAATCAATATGGTAGGTATTACTGCAGCTAGGTGAAAGTATCCATGGAAGGCTTTGAAGTTACTGCAGGACTGTCTGCAAAACAATCCCACCCTTGAGCTATGCAGACAAAGCAGCGTAATGGCACGGGCTAGGATGAGCAATGAGGAGCAGTTTTTGTGCTCCCAAGCAGCTTCAGCACATGCTGGGGGTTTACAAGACCTCTTGCATGCTGAAACAAATCTTGGGAGCAGGACAGTGTATTTAGATTTCGGGGGGGACTTGGGCATTTTTATCTGTGCCAGTCATACTTCTGGATTAGTTGGTAGTTTCTGCTGTCTCTGCTTACTGCTTTGTATGCCCTGGGGTGGAATCGTAGAATCACAGAATGGTTTGGGTTGGAAGGGACCTTAAAGACCATCTAGTTCCAACCCCCCTGCCATGGGCAGGGACACCTTGCACTAGACCAGGTTGCTCAAAGCCTCGTCCAGGGATCCACATCCACAACATCTCTGGGCAACCTGTTCCAGTGCCTCACCACCCTCTCCGGGAAGAACTTCTTCCTGATATCTAATCTAAACCTCCCCGCTTTCAATTTAACCCCATTACCCCTTGTCCTGTCACCACAGGCCCTTGTAAAAAGTCGCCCCCAGCTTCCTTGTAGCCCCTTCAGGTACTGGAAGGCTGCAATAAGGTCTCCCCAGAGCCTTCTCTTCTCCAGGCTGAACAAGCCCAACTCTCTCAGCCTTTCATCATAGCAGAGGTGCTCCAGCCCTCTGATCATCTTCGTGGCCTCCTCTGGACTCGCTCCAACCAGTCAATATCCTTCTGATGTTGTGGGCTCCACAGCTGGATGCAGCACTCCAGCTTATATCCTTATATATAATATGAATACTTACATACTGGATTTTTGTAGTCTTTAAGAAAGAATGTTGGCACCCATTGTTAGATAAAAAATCAAAAGTACACGTGAGCTGTGACAAACTGGTAACGGTTCCTGTTGTGAGTATTTAATTTTGGGGTATTAAAGTGGTCAACAGAGGTTCAGATACATTGCTGAAGTGGCGAAACTGACATTGCTGGATGGTGTGTAGTAGCAGAGCTGGAACTGTAACTGGATTCCAAGTCTCCTTGTTCAACCTTCAGTTCATCTTGCTAACCACTGCGATTTCCGTCCAACAGAGGATCCTTCATGCATATGCATTTCAAAATCTTTTTATGAAACTCTCTTAAGACTTTCATCATTAAGAATACATCAAAAAGGAGATGGTTTTGCTTGTCAAATTGGCTATGCAAAGCACTTGTGTAGAAGGAAATAAGACTTCTTCCAGTGAAAGCAGAGGGTGAGTTTATCCCTCCTCGTGCTTGTCGGAGGAAGAGCACTCCTCTGCCATCACTGCGTGGCTGCGGTCATGGCTTGTCCGTGAGCTCCTGTCTGAACCGGGAACGAGACGGGGTCGTGGCTTGAGCTCCCTCTGTGTTCTGGAGATCACGTAAAATCACACAGGGCTCTGGTCAAAAGGTGTCTGCAACTACACTTTATTTATTTACATGCTTTTAAAAATAAGCAGGCAAACTATGCTGGACATTATCAACTATTTGTCACTTGAATAAAGAAGGAACTAAAGCAAAGCGTGGCTTAGTTTTCTGGCTTGGGTTGGGTTTTTTTAAAAACTCACCCTACTTTTCTCAATTTTTTTTTCCTGTATCAATTCAGTGTTTTCCAAATTCACAGCCATATTCACATGTGCAGTAAGTTAAATAGTTCCAGCGTTTTGCAGTGATCAAAATCATGATGCGTCTGTGATAATTACTTCCCAGTTTCCTGCACATCATTGCATGCACGCTTGCATCTCTTCTTGTTCGCTGCCGTCTTTTTTGCTCAAGTAACAGCGTGCAGGAACTCTTAAGCGGGTCTTGCCTCCATCTTCATCCTCCAGCTACGTCCTCGCCGCACAAACTGGGGAAATGCTACAGTGAGACCCCTGGCAGCAGCCCCTAGTGTGTGCGGGTATTTGCTCTTGGGTTTGACTGTTCAGTCACTAACAGAGAAGCACATTTTTTTTTGTTATTGGAAGTTTTATAATTCTGAACAATTGATTTTCTTAGGTAAAAAATACCAATGCTGTTCATATATAAAGACTTGAAAGGCTGTTTTTAGAGAAATGAAACTTGCTCTGGGTGCTTCTAAAATCCCACTTGAGTGTTCTTTTGCGTGTGTTTTCTTTAAAGGAGACAAAATACTTCTTTTCAAAGAAAAAAAGGTGTTGAATGTAAATAAGAGCATGGAGGGATTATTAATCACCCCAGCAGCTGATTATGATCCCGTCTCCAGCATAAAAGTCTCATCTTAATAAGTACTAATATTGGTTACAAGGAGTTGGCAGGGGGGTAGTGGTATTTGTTTTACAGTCACAAATCACATGGCCTGGAATTGCTTCTGTTTCTTTACACAACAGTGCCCCAGACTCTGTTCTGAAAAATATGTACTGTCTTCAGATCCACCTTTTTTTAAACCTTCCCAAGATTAAATACACCTCAGGCTTGAATTCTGCTTTTTACAGCTCTCCTAAGTGAAAGGGTTAGGCTGTTAAAATGTCACCTGTGGTACTAATGTGAAGGAACCAGGAGCAATTGCTGTCAATTTTCTTGTGTTCTGACAAACTGACTTGTATATAGTTCTCTGGGTTTAGAGGAATTTAACTTTCTTTGCTCATTTTATTGAATGAGACAGTTTTTATTTGGCAGAAGTAGTTGCTTCCTGTCATCACCGAAGGATTGATTGGAAGAGCTCAGTTTGTAAACGTTCTCTGAAGTCGAAAGCTGGGACTGGCCCCGAATTCTGATTAATACTGAATTCCAATCCCTTGTGATAGTTGAGCTTTCTGTTCAAATTATATTAATTTGTTTAAAACAAAAGGCATTCTTTGAAGTCACTTCTTGCTGCAGCAAACCCTTGCTGTATAAAACCCCTTTGATCTCATGCACCTCACTTCAGGTATTTCTGTTCATTTGTCTTGAGCGTGGGATTCCGTAGTCCTACGTTAACTGCTTTATCCCTTAGATCCCGCTGTAATTGCTGCTTTTCTGTGCCTTGAGTTTAGTACGAGTGCTCTCTGCTGTGTCTCTGTTCTGCAGGAGGTTTTTTTTCCCAAAACAGGGAGGTATTTTGGGTAGAGAGGTAATAGTGAAGTGAAGGCTCCCTGGGAAATTTCCTCCGTGAAGTGACTTTTGGCTCAGATCCCTCTAAACCTGCTGACTTCTCCTCCGTAGCCCTTCTGCTTCTCATCTCCTTGTGCTCTTCTTGGCCTTCTGCATTCTTGTTTATCTGACTACCTCTGTTCAAAGAAGGAAATGTAGTTTTTTGAAGAAGTGTGGGTATGAAAATAGAGGAATATAAAGTAGCAGGAGTGTTTTGCTGTGAATATTGCTTCTGTACTCTTATTTGGCAATAATTTAAAGCATTTTCCCTGCCATGAGAAACATATGTTTGGGGAGGAGTCCATGTCTCGGGCTTTTTCGTGTGCATTAGCAGTAGGTAGCAAAGTATGACCTAGAAAATACTTGGACTCAGAATGGTAGAGCTGTGAGAGAATCTATTGTGGATTTTCATTACAAAATGGTATTGCCATCTGAAATTAAGATTCTTTTAGTAAGAAATTGCTTACGTAGTGGATGAAAAAAATAGCTCAAAAATATTTCCAGTCCGATAAGCAGATCTGAAATCAAAAGATGCCGCATTTTTGCACTAGATGCAAAACTGTAAGGGATCCTGGGATTTCAGTGCAGCATTTTCCTCAGCCTTTGCCTCTCATAACATTCACAGGAGATTGGATTTCGATTTCTGTTCATGGCAGGTTTTTTAAGGACGTATGAAATAACAGAGAAAGAAGGTGTTTGTAGACTGGAGCAATGTAAAGTCGTTATTTAAACTTTCTGTACTGGAGGAGGTGTAGGTTACCTCAGCTGTGCACTGCACATTAACGTCTCCTGGGAGTTCTGAATCTTAGGGAAAAAAGCCTACACCTGTGCAGGTAATTTTTAATATCCTTGTGGAAGCACAGTTTTTAGATTTGTGTCCCCGAATTGCAGGGAAAGCAATCTTGTAGTCTTCACCTTCTTGTCAAATAAAACATAACTAAATTTAAAATTCACATTGTGTGTATGCTTTTGCTGTTCTTCATGTCCTTCATCTCTAACTCCATTCTGTTTTTAGGGGAAAAACAAAGTTAGGCGAGTGAAGACCATTTACGACTGTCAGGCAGATAATGATGATGAGCTCACATTTGTTGAAGGAGAAGTAATTATTGTAACTGGTGAAGAGGACCAAGAGTGGTGGGTATGTATCTTCTCCTTTTGTGGATCCATGTAACTTCTGTGTGACGTTCTTCCAAAAGTATCTTCTTCCAAATTAGGGGGGTTTGTTGTTAATTTGGTGTATGGGTGGTGAGTTTTTTTATTTTCTTGGGTTTGAGGATTTTTTTGCCTTAGCTGCCATCAAGTCCTCAAACTTGTGTTGGAGAAGACCCCCTTTCTCTGGCAGGATCTGTCTCTCCCTGGGCGTCTGCTAGAACCATCCTGACTAGGTTTGACCTTACTGCTGGCTTGTACCACCACGTACTTATGTATGTCACTCCTTGTAATTAGTGCTGCAGCCTGATGGTTTCCTCCCTAAATGCGAGGTATTCAGTATTTTCTTTCCCTTCTTCCCTCCTGTGCCACTGGTTTGTATCACACTTCCCCCTGCTCTGGACCACGTGTTATCTTTGGTTCTTGAGGGCTAACATCAGGTTTTTCTCAACCCCACTTGAAGGGCTTCAGTCCTCCCTTGACACTTTTCTTGCCTCCAAACCCCTGCTACATCACACACCCCTGCCTAAGAGTTACTCCAGGGGAAATGAGACGGATTTTATTTTGATTAAAACAAATTCTTACCACAATGCTGCTTGTGATTTCCTAGTTTAAGTGCAGCGCAACCTTTGCTGTTTTGGTTCTAGCCACACGGTTTCCTCTCGCTCAGCATTTAAGTGTGGAAGACTTTCAACTGCAAAGATGGTATCAAAAGAGCAATAGATCACCCAGCCCCTGATTAGCTGCTGATTCTCTTTTGTGAAGTGGCCTTTTGAGATCCCTGGGTACGGGTCTGGCAAGTTCCATCAAGGGCTCCAGTCTCAGCCTTTCCGAGAAGGGAAATGAAGGCTTTTGACTCATATGCTTCAAAAATCTGTCTCTGCAAGAGGAAATGGCCAGCCCTGCATGCTTCCCCTTCCCATTTTGTTAGCTTGGGGAAGAGGAAGGAGGTACACCATTACTCTCCAAGTAGCGAGCAGCACTGCAGCAGGATGAGACGAGGTTATGTGGTCAGTCAAGGCTCTGCGACTCCAGTGCTATCACTTCAGTAGTGGTTAAAATTATACATTTTAAGCATGTAATGTTCATACAGAAGGTGCCATTATTTGGTTTTTTTTAGAAGTTGCTTGGCTCTTTCTTTATACATTATTATTATTATGCAAAACGTAAGAAGTTTTACAGACGATACTGTGATTCGTTACAGGCACTAATATGTACATAAATCATTAGGAATCCTACTAATTCAGCGAGAAAATAGCTGGGCTGTCATCACTTTAAGTGAAGCGTGCAGTAGCAAGACATATCAGACGTAAGGAAATAAGGATTCTGTTTTGATGAGATCCTTGGCACACAGTGGTCTGTGCAGCCCTCCCGGGTTCCATCTTTAATTGTAGCTGGTTTGCTCTCTCCAGATTCAGCTGGGTTAATTAGTGTTATTTATAATACATCCGCATGGCTTTATTTTGTCGCATTATGCAAATTCAGATGTTCACCAGGGTCTGCTTTAAGCTGTCCAGGACCTTGCAGAGGCTCTGTGGGGGCCATGTGGTTCTGCTGCTTTTGGATGAAGTGGGTGCAGCCTGCGAACCCTGTCTGCAGGCACAGACGCACGTTCACCCACGTTTTTCTCCTGTGTTGCAGATTGGCCACATCGAAGGACAGCCAGAGCGGAAAGGGGTCTTCCCGGTGTCCTTTGTGCACATTCTGTCAGACTAGTGAAAACAAACAAAAATCCTCAACTTGAGCATTGCACATTCTTCATGCAAGACGGGCTTTTTAGCAAAAGCGAACGCTGCTGCCTCCCTGTAATCCTGTGCACAATTGTATATACAGCTGCTGTTACAAATTAAGAATTCATTTAAGTTTCACCTCATGAGGTTGAATTATATGTATTGTAAATATACGGTGTTATTCTGCCTTTGCCAGTATTATGGTAGCCTTGGAACCTGGCACGCCTTATTGGGTTCGTTGAAGCCATCCTCGGCATCTAGCACTTACATCTCCGTCTATGCTGTTAAAAATCCGTATGAACTGCCAGCTTCCCAAACATTGGTGGTCTCCGTCAACCATGTCACTGTACAGAAAGGACTGTTCCTAATAACTCGGTATTCTCAATATACAACTAGCAGAAAAGTTAGAATGAGTGAATGGTTTTGGACAATTTAAAAATCAGTCTGCAGTTTATAAGTGTTTGCAGTTTACAGCTATGAAACCCACTTCGGTATTTATTTAATATAGTGCTCAGTTACGTGTAATTATGAAGACAAATATTCACTGACTTTACAGGTAACAGTAATGTTTTATGGTGTGCATACAGCATTTCATGTTTATATTATGTGGACCTATGCCAAACTGTGATTGCAGTTCCCCTGTGATATTACCTCACTATAAAGAGTTACAAATTTATTTCATTCGAAAAGTTCTTTTAATGAAAATTAGTCATATTGTTCTTTAGTAGATATATGTGAAATTTGCTGGTTTCTTTCACTGAATCCTTAGTAACCAAGAACTTCTAGAAAATGTTAACTGTTGACATTATGCATGCATCTAGATGCTTACTTGAAACCTGCCTTTGTACAAAAGTAGTACTCTAGTCATATAGCTACATTTGAAGAAAAGAACATTTTAACTTAATTGCTCTTCAGATTAATGTGAGCTTGCGACAGCATTTGTTTATAGCTAAATTGGCTCTTCGAAAAATGATTCTGTGGGGGGTTTTTTCCTCTGTCTTCAGCCTTGATAAAAGTTAGTTACCTAAAATAAAATTTCTTAAGTGGCGATATAAGGGTAAATTTAAACTTACTTTTAATTGCCCTGAAAAGTGGGAGTTCAGGTGACCTCTCGCGCACTTGACGAGGCTGTTAACGGTAGAACTGGGATCACACGTATCAGGCTGGTTTCAGCACCAAACTGTAACTGAAATAGCGGTAATTCGGAGCACCAGGAAACAGACAGACTGTTAAAAGCGAATTCTGGGAGAAATCTTTGGAAGGCTGCCTTCTGCCTGAGGTTTCTGGGAAGTTGGCCTGAAGTGGCATTGCCAGAACACAGGTGTGTTACCGGAAACCTTCAGCACCGGGTCGTAACTTCCGAAACGTCACGTTGTGTTTCTCCCATCGTTTGTCTGCAGCGGGTTCCGTGACGTAGGCGGCCGCACGTTCCTGGCTTTAGGTGTTCCCAGCCCTGCGGTTCCACTGCGGGTTGTCTTGGCTGCAGGGAAAGGTTTTCCTTTTGTAGCGGCGCGTCTCGGACGTTCAGAGGGCTTTCATTTTTAATTCAGTTTACAAGACTGTAGTCAGTGAATATTTAATTCTGTTTGTGCTTAATATAGAGACAAATATCGGTCTAAACCCCACATGGAAAAACACAAAACATCGATCAGCTGTTAATGGTTTTATCGTGTGCAACACAAGTTCATTCAGAAGAACTAAGGGCGCAGTGAGCGAGCCTGCTGGCATCTGATCTTCAGTATTACCAGCTCCAGTATTTCAGACCTTATTCTGTTGTTTAGGGAAAGGAAGTCAGGTTTAGCCTTTATTTAGCATTCCGTTTTATCCATTTCTACAATGTTTTAAGTTGCATTAAAGAACAAAACCTATTCACTTTTGCGGTCAGTTGTATTTTTAAGTGATCTTGAAATAAACTGATAAAAGCAAATCGTATCAAGAAAACCTAGGCATGTAAAATTATGTAGAGTCAAATGTCTATTCTTTTCTACGCTCTTTAAAATAGTATACATATGCATTTTATAAGATGAAATGAGTTCCATCGGGAACAATAGTTCTGTTTATTCTGGCTTCTTGTGGGTCATAAGAAATCTGAAAATGTATGATATTGATTGAGTTTAAGTACAGTGTTATATTTGAACTCAATGAGCCACTGTCTGCAATTTTGTATATGACATAGTATTTGGAAAGTCTAAATCTTTATGGAAAATTAGCTGATACGGGGTTGGGGGGAAGGGCAGGGGAAGGCGCCCCCAGAGGGGGAAGTACGCTCTGCAGATGATGTCTTATTTACTGTTGAACAACAGTTGCTATTTATTTTTTTATTGCGTAGTACATCAGCGTGTACAGAAATCAGATCTGGTCATGCCACTAGTTAAAATCTTGACTTCTCATGGAATGTTAAGGTAAAACACCAGTACACATGTCTATTCACATGTATTTAATGTGACAGTTTTTGAGTACTGTATGTGTTAATTTCTACTTTTTTAATATTTAAAATTGCTTTTAAATAAATGTATTCAGTTGATCCCAGATATCTGAACAAGGCCCTTTTGTCAACTGGAATATCTTCTAGGGAGGAAGTTTGGATTCCAGACAGGTAGAACTAAAACACTTGTAATGTTTTCTCTGGAATATGAAGCACCCCTTACAGAATGCCATTAAACATGTATTTCTTTAACAGCTGTTAATGTGGATGCACTTGCCTTTATCTGGAAGACTACCCTTGCTGAAGTTAGCATCCAAACACCTCCTTTGTCCACGAGCGTTCCGAGTGCTCTCGCGCTGCCGTGGCTGTGCCCGACGGCAAGCCCCGCTGTGCCGGGTCTTCTCCGCCTGGCCCTGTGGGTTGAAAAGAACGGCTCAGCGCAGCCCTCTGTGCCGTGCACCGCCTTCCCTGTCCCTGAGCAGCAGTACCCAGCCCGACAAGCTCTCAAACCCACTCCAACAGCACTGACCTTTCCCGGATGGAGTGACTGTGGCGCTTAGGATTTCAGCTCCGACCCAGCTTGCAGAGGTTATTCTTCCCCTCCCTGATTCACTTAATGGAAGTTTCTTGTTTAAGACCCATTCCCCTCAAAACTGCTCCAAAAAGAACAAGTCCTTGGAGTTGCTAGAAAGCAATTTAGCCAGAGGAAAGGTTGGGAGTGCGGAGTTATCGGATCTAGTTTGTATGAAAAACAGTAACTGCAGCAGGACAGGGCTCGGGAGCCCGGTGTGGAAGAGTTGGACACTGAATTGCCGCGTGGGCGTAGCCCGGGTTCATCATAGATTATTCTGCTCGGTTGGCTCGGGGCTTCTAAGTTGACACAGGCTAAACCAGCGGGGCAAGGGGTGTGTGAAGTGTGGACGTGGGGCAGGGGAAGCAGTCTGGTTAAATACTCTGCTCTTGCTCAGTTTCTACCTTGTCACAATATTTCAGATAACAGCATTGAGATCCATTGATCCCAATATCCTCGTTCTTCTCCCAGTTGTCCTTCAGTGACGTGTATTGATTTCCTTTTGCAAGTCACTTTTGAGGTGGGTATCTCATACCCACCGGGTATGAAGCAAAAGAGACCAAACGCATGCCCAGAGAACGGCCCTGTTCAAAGTTTCAGTCTGCTTACCCTTTTCCCGGCAAACTCAGCTCAGAGCTGAAGAGAAGACTGATTGGTAATGAAAACCAGTGCAAGTGGTACAAACCTTCAACACCCGTGAGTGAAACCCAGAAACAGCTGCCCACCACCCAACAAAAACCCAAACACTCCAACCCTATAAATGTAAAACTTCAGTTTTCAGATGCTTCCCCACGCTCTGTAGCTCTGTGTGACAGTTCACCTGAGCCTCAACCAGAAGCTGCTTTATTTCCCCACAGCGTACCCTGTCCGTGTGTCACGCCAGTCACACCCTACACCAGTAACCCTCCTGGGCTGAGAGACCGGAATACCAGAGAGGATCAAAAGTCCCAAAGTAAATAAAGCTTCAGGCCTTAAATTCTTACAGACAACTTGGCCTTAAACTCAAGCCTAAATTGCTGTTGGGGGTGCTTTTATGAGACACTTTGGGCCCCCTAAAACACAGCTGGAGGCTTTTCAGAGGGATACAGAATGCACACAGGGCTGTAAGATGTGTTTATCTATATAGCTGCAAGCCAAAAATTTTCTTATCTAATACAAGCTAACTATTTCCAGTTGTCTTAATGATACTTTTAGGGCTGTACATGCCATGATTTACAGCTCAGTCATCTGCTGAGAGAGTGCTCGGATTTCTTCTCGAGATAAGCGAAGTGCTGTTTGTCAACTGGTGCTGAAGCTCACAGCCCCCGGTGCTGTGGTGTGCATGGAGCCGGCGAGCCTTGACGGGTTCTCCCCAGCTGCTGTTGGAGTAACACTCAAAACGATCCTGTGTCGTGGTACAGGCTCTGCCTTGTTCCTCTGTAACCAACAAACAGGCCCTCCTGTCTGCCGCGCAGCGGGTGTCTGCTCCGGTCTCCTCGTCGCAGCGGGGGCGGGGGACAAACCATTTGTGACAGCTGTCACGTCCGCTGGCCACGTCACCGCGGAGGCGATGACGGGTCGTTTGCTGCACCACCTGAAGAACGTTTTGGATGAGCTCTAAGCTCACCTGGAACTTTTCCATCCAGTGTTGATGCTACTCTGCAGTTCCTACCAGTTCAGTCTTGGTTCTTGGCCTCTGAGCAGGAACATCCCCTGGAATTGCTGCTCTTCGACGGGCAGTGTGGGACTAGGTCTGGTCCCCCATAGGATTGTTTTTCCCCGAGGCTTGAAGATGTTTCTTGTGCTTCAGTTACCACCAGCAATTTAGAAATCTGATTTTTTTCCTCTCACAGTCACGCTGTGCAGCTGAACCCCCCGTGAACGCTCAAACTAGCCTGCATACTGCATCGTAGCTCTACACTCAGCTCAGAGCAATAGCATTAGGTTTGGTTTTATGGTAACTAATTAATTTCTCTAGGGAATACTGCAGGAAGAACTTACTACTGCTGTGTGTAAACTTAGAAAAGGAGTAGTGTGCGATAGCTTAAGTCTGAAGCTGCTCTCAAACCTGATTTAGGAATGCTTTTCATCTCGCCCTGCTCCCACACCCCTGCTACAGCAGTGTCAGCTGCTGAGCTGCACTCTGTAGTTTTTAAATAAAAACCAAAACAGGCCCTTGTAAGAAGTCCCCCCCACCTTCCTTGTAGCCCCTTCAGGTACTGGAAAGCTGCAATAAGGTCTCCCTGGAGCCTCCTCTTCTCCAGGCTGAACAAGCCCAACTCTCCCAGCCTGTCCCCATAGCAGAGGTGCTCTGTCGAGGTTACTCTAGTAGCTCTAGGCAGGACAGCAAGAGCCCCGGTAGCTGAGCCGTGAGCTGCTGCCAGCCACATGCTCTCATCTCCAATGAGGCTTTTTGTTGTGTGGAAACCCATCCAGGAGCTGGAACAAAGCTGGAGTAACTCCAGGACCATTGCAGTAGTTTTGACCTCTGCGGATAGGAACATGGGGATGAAGGGCAGATGTGATCCAGGATCTTCCTCAGTCTCCATCCTCCCTGCAGGGAGTGAGCCAACCTCTGCAGAAGGAAAGAGGACACATGCTAAACCTACCTGTGTAGGGTGCACAGAGCTGATGGCCTCCTTACAGGGGAAGTTGAGCAGCTGGGATATCTGGAGAGCAAGGCGCATTGAGCTTCACGTGAAGTGAATTTACACTGAGTGATGCTGGAAGAGGGGACTCCTGAGTCCCATAAACGTTGAGATAAGAGCTATATAATTATATAAATGAAACTTACAGTAATACTAACAATACTACTACTAATAAATAATTAAAATAACAGAAAATAGAACATATGATACAGGGTCTCACCACCCATGGACCGACACTGCCAGATTCCAAAACAGCAAGCAAAAATCCAAACGGATAGAAGAAAGAGTACGACCCAAAACCCTGAACCTAAACGGTGGAGAGAAAACCCTCCTCCCAGATCCTGAGAGCAGAGAGCAGGGAGAAAGAAACTTCCATCCCCTTCCACCCTCTCCCCCCCATCAATTAGCCTAAC